GTTCATTCTGAATCCTTCTCTCTTCCTCAGCTGCCCTTTTCAACTCAAGGATCTCTTGCTCCTTACTTGATAGTGATTGTCGATGGTTAGCATCAATGACACGTTGATATGCCTGAATTTTCTCATTCATCTGAGCTTCACGGAACCTTACGTGTTCATGCGCCTCATGCTGTAAATTCTCTTTATATTGGGCACCCGCATTCAAAAGTTCTTGTTCTTTGATTCTGATAGCATCTAGGGCCCTCTGACTTTCAATGCCCTCGCGGACTCGCAAAGCTTCCTTCAACTCCTCAGTCTTGGCCGTGTGGATAGCTTCAGCCTGAGCTTCGGTATGAGCCAACACCTCACGATGGCGGAGCTCGGCCGCTGTTTCCACAAGGCTTGTCATCGCAGTATCATGCGAATGGACATGCAAATTCTGCTCGACAAAATTCACTTGAGGATTATCCATTTGCACATTGTGATGGAAAATGTTGTGAACGTTCGTTTGGTTCAACTGGCGAGTCGGCGGCCCACCCTCCCGAGCGGCTTGGGGGACATAACCACGGTGGTTGAAACCAATATGAGAAGGCACAATTGCGTTACTCATTGATGGTAAGTGGCGTCGGTCCCTTAGGCTTCGCGATTTATCGGAGCTGGGTGGTGTGCTTATGTCAACAGAAAATGGGGTGTCGGATATAGGCAAGGCTCCCGGATTCGCCATGGCTGCATCAGAGGAAACGGGGATACCGGGGCCCTCAGAGGAAGCACCTGAGGGGGCAGACATGCCTACCTAGAGAAAAGGCGTTACGGCTGATAACCTGTTTTACAGGCTAACACGCCACAAAACGACAGCAATATGCGCTTGTTTTCTTGAGCCATTGCATCACGGTATGTAACACATTACACTATGTACAGCTAGTAATACAAACTACAAACACAAATAACAAAAAAAACAGCGACTTTGTGACTTGGTAGTACATCATCATACATCATCAATGGCATCAATTGCAACAAGAAGTCGACATATGACTAAGGATGCATCACCCCGCCAGCTTGGTGCAAGGTTGTGAATCTGTTGAACGACATGCTACAACTACAATCAACATCAATCAACTACATTTCCTTCATAAAGATCTAAATCTGTCTAGGTTTACAGTATCTTGTAAAAACTATTGAAAATTCTTCAATCAATTGAAAGCATCATATTATATAGGTCTTCACTAGCAACAACATGCTTTGCACTAAGTTCAAGTCGTCATTTAGTGTAATTCTTGGTTGTACTGTACGTTGTAAATGTATGCAAATGTTGTTAGCATGCTTCAGCCAAATTGGTTCCCACCCGCTCAATGCCCCGTGTGTCCAATTCTCCTCGAGACTTGCGACACCATTGAAGATGTGGAATGCTGCATATTTCATGTCTTCTGCTTTGTTGCCATGGGCAAGCAAATTGGACTCGAAAGCTGTCACACCACCACTGCAGAAGCGCCTGAGTCATGCAAAGAGGAAATGTAGCATGTCATCATAATCTGCATTGTTCTAAGTGACTTTGCATGTTAGATTGGATAATGTATCAGTCTGTGTAAAGCTTCCTTCAAAAACGCGGTGGACTTAAACCAATACGAGAACAAGAATGACGTAGCTGCTATGGGATCTTTGAGTTCATTCCCAAGACAATAACGCCTCTGTCCTGAGGATTCCTGAGGTATGCACAGTGTGTTGTGAAAAAGTTCTACGACCAAACCAATTTGTCCGTTGAGTTCAGGTTTCCCTCGGTATGTACACTGTGTAAGTGTCTTCGTCAACGAGGACTGGTCGGCACCCAGAGTCACAAAGCGTCCAATCGATATTGCGCTTGACCAATCTTTCTTGGCGATGTTCTCAAACAAGCATTCCCGAATTGAAACGTGGGGTGTGACCTGAAACTCTTTGAACACTCCAAGATCTGTGGGTGTTAGGAAGTGGCTCACACTTACGCCCTGGCCACAGCTGTGAATCCAACAACGAATCATCTCCAAACGAGCACCTCTCCAAACATTGACAGCCTCTGTTCTGGAATTCGAGATTTCAATCGATCATCCTCACAAACGTCATTTTATGAGGCTTCCACACTGGAACATAGGCATTGGACTTGCGCGAGAACTCTATCCGGGGTTCTTGGTCTCCGTGGTTTCTGCAATGCTCCAGCCAACGACCAAAGTCGAGTCCGTCTGAATCGTGATAGTGAAGCGCAGGATGTCTAGATGATCCACGCAGCCTCTTGCCCGTGCGGGCACGTATGCCCCCACCACCCCGCACATCGACAGAATGCCGTCCTCCCTGGATCGTGCACTTCGTGAGATTTACTGCAAACTGACCAAAGCTACAACAAGCAAAAGCTGACTTACTTCCAATAGGCGTTTGATCTGAGTATGCTCTATGGCCACGACCAAGGGCAACCAAATAGGATGAGCGGATAGAGATGACTGCGCTCACATTAGATGCCACAAAGTGCAGGTTGCGAAAGTTTGCTCCAGATTTTGACTGGACTTGAACCTCAGAGCCTAGACGCAAGAATACCTCACCATCACCCGTTAGATCGGCTGCTGAGTATATCATCAAACCACGAGGAAGCTCATAAGTTCCAGCTGCAATGATGATATCCCTTGATGCTTTCAGAGCTTCTTCGATTGAAGCAATGTCATTTGGCACTATTATTGGTGGCTCGCCTAAAAAGGCCACCACCAAATTTTTCGCTACTACCCCAAGGCGACGAAGGGCCCTGAACCAATGCAGCATGATGCGTCTTGTTGCTGGGCTGAAGCGTCGATGTTGCCTGAGGTTAGCATTTGCTATCTCTATTTCTGTTCCTCGGACATTCATGACTGTGTTCTGCCAGATTTCGCCATTCAGCGCCAAGGCTCTATACCAGGAGTCAATGTTCGCAAGCTCCACGACAACAAGGTGAGTATTACTGTTTTCACAGGACACAATATCGCAGTTTGCAGCTGAAGAAAGCCAGTTTGCTACCTCGAAGGAGTTTAAAGCCGGTGTGTCGCGCTGCTTTTGAATGTGCAAACTGGCAGAGTACACTACAATTGTCAGCCTTGCTGGTGCCTCTGGCAGGTAATCAATGGAACAACCAGGAACTCCTTGGCGCAAGGAGCTGTACATTGACTTTGCAGATGGTAAAAGTAGACGCAATGCCCGACGACCAAAACCCAGCTCCAGCATCTCTTCACTCAAAATCATGTCGTCACCATCATGACTGAAAACGTTTTGAGCATTGTCCAAAGCAATTCTCATTGGGACAATCCGAAGATCTACCGAGGATGATTTTACCAAAATAGAGTTGGTGATCCCAGAATCTGCTTGCAGCGGCTTGTTCTGGACAGTGACACAGCATGCAGGACACAAAGATGGAGGCAAAAACTCTGCTTGGGGTTCCACCTCGTCTGATATGCCCAAAATGAGCGTCCCAACAGAGAAGTACACTCCGCGAACATATCTGCTGTCAAGGATACGGCCCTGTGCAGAAAGTGCCCCTGCTAGCGCATGCCCCTCCTGACAAAGCATTTTTGATAGTGATTCTTACTTCTTTTCAGGTGCGGAATTGAATCTACTCTGGTTTTCTAGCACATGAACTCCAAGTCTTATTGAAAACAAAAATCTACGTTGCTGTTTGTTATCCCCAGAGCAAACGATCACAAAACGGAGGTTACATCAACAGTTTCCAGTTTTGGGCAGTGTTCAAGTACAGCGTAAACATGCGTAAACATGCGTAAACATGCGTAGACATGCGTAAACATGCGTAAACATGCGTAAACGATAGCTTGATCCAGTGGACTTGCCACGGCACTTGACTTATCTTGACTGTCGATGAGCTCTGTGCTGACAAAAACAACATTGTAACATGGGACCGAATGCAAGAGTCGGTGCAGTGCAATCAGAACAACGATGAAACTTCAAGGCAAATCAGAAAAATGCTGAATGATCTGAATGATCTGTTGATACATTTGTGATGTGCTTGTGAGAATATTATTTCGCATCATTGTTACATGATGCTCAAACGAAAGCGTTTGACCATAAGCGCTTAAGAACATTTAAGAACCATAGAACCCTAGAAAGCGCTACAAACCCCCGCTCCTCTTGTGACATGCGAAGCTTCATTCGCCCAGGCCACAGGAGAACTTCAGGCCAAAGAGTTTTGCAAAGTATGCAGTTCCATTTTCTTGGCTCCTCACACTGGACTCACCGCTTGAAACGCTGCAAGAGTTGAAGTAGCACAAAAGAACGCTTAAGAAGGGCAGGCCCCAGGAACACTTGCAGTGGTACGGATGTGCATGTCCTTTGGTACCAACAACATTACAGAAAGCACTTCGGGGTGCACTTACGTAAATAATATGTACATACTATCTAGTCTATATTTACATATAATCATATGTCATAATACATAACATACAGTCTTTAGCAAAAGGATACAAAAGCGAAGCCTCTGCCCATGGCCCATGGCGAACAACCTTCTTATGGCAAGGAATCTACGTACAAGTACCTCTCATGGGTTTTAAAATCGAAGCGCTGGCAAACAGCAAACCGAAAGTAAACTGAAAACAATTATCTTACAATCCCACAATCAGATACAATCAGTATCAATCAATCAATTAATGCGTTTGATCTCCCTGCGATCTCCAACCCAGCTCCTCAGAAGTAGAAGGTTGACGTTGCAAGCTGCTCCAAATCCATTTGTCATGCAAGCTCAAACCAGCGATGTGCAAACTATCCTCGAACTCCTCTTCGTTCGCCAGCCAATTTAAATCCATGTCGATGATGGAAAAGAAACTGCATAGAACTTGAGCCTGAACCCTTTGCATGTGTGTTTTTGGACCTCATTGTGCATGAATCGTGACTGCAACTTTCAACACGTTCGTATTTTTTCTTATTTTGTCTTATGATTTCATCATTGTTCTGCGAAGCCATTGAATTCTTCTTGTCCTATCCTGTGAATCCTGTCCTTAATATTCCGAAAAAAGAAAAGTCTGTAAGGATCTTGGTGCCAGCGCTTGGCCAAAGCAGATTTTTGGAGCTCTTATAGCAATGTGTAGCCCGCGGTGCTCCCAGAGTAATCTCCAAATTCGCCGCCTTGGCAGATGAAACATGCAAGCATGCAATGCATTCTGATTCATTCAGATCTACTATATAATATATTTCATATAATATTATATATATATAGATGGTACTGTATGATATGGTACTTGTAGATTTATAACAGGTTCTAACAGGCTCCATCCAACTCAGTCACTATGGGTCACTGTCCTGATTGGTTCTCTGCAGTGTATGTCTCATACCAAACTTCGATGCAAGATGATGCAACCCAGATACATCCATCGTCATTGTGAGGCCTCTGAGCTTGACCGCTGGCCACCTGAACTGCACAAAAAGATACAAAAAGCATCAAAAGGCATGAACGTCTTGGAAGATCTCAGAAGATTGCAGCTTGCCTTAAAAAGGCTGCGGTTCCCTCGGTCCCTCATGGTGGATTCTTGAAAACAAATCGAATTCATGGCTAGATGGTAGTTTTATGTAGTTTTGATCTGTTTTGATGGTGATTTTGATGACGTGTGCCTTCTGTTTCTCTGGCTCTGTCAAGAATGCTTTGCTTGATCATCTCACGCTGAGATTTCCACGGTTCGCTTCAGATTCTCTGGCTTGAGACTTTGCAGATTTGCCATGCCCAGCTCCACTTGAAATCGGCCCTGCAGGGATTTGTGTCATTGAGTCACGCAGTCACCCCCGACCACTCAGGATTCCAAAATAACCATGACAAAAACCAATTTCTGATCTATGTCTTGAATGTCTTGCATCTATCTGTATCTTGCACTGGTTCGTCACTTTGTGTCACTTCCAGCCTTGACCTCGTCCCACTTTGTTATCAAACCACTCCTGTGAAACATGAAACGGATTGTTTGGTTGCACCTGCTTGGACAAAACATGTTTTGAATATATTTGAACTGGTTTGCAGCAATCACTTAGCCCAGTTTTAATTTGCGCGGCTATCTTGATGCTTGTGCTGGCTAAGGTCTCCGCTTGCCATTTAGCGCCTGCGAATGCTTCAGGGGAAGTAACGAAGAGGAGTGAAGTGGGAATGACTTCAAGTGACAAAGGTGAGACCAAAGGTGAGACTGACATACTGAATCGACAGCTCCACGTGCCACATGCCGAATGCAGTACCACCGCTTTCGGAGAGGTTGTATCATGTCAGCATCATGTCAGCATCACAACTTCAGCGTTTCTCCTTATGTTCTCTTGCGACCCAGCAACTGATCATCTGATCCTTCTGTAGTTTTACACGGCAGCATATTTCAGCGCCTTGCCGCCCGCTGACTGGAGGCCATGCACCTCTACGACATCCCCGGGCTTCAGAGCCCCGTTGTCCGCCTTGGTCGAGAAATGCTAAGACGTGTGCTGCAGCGGGTTTGGAGTTTGCACCGATTTGCACCGGCTCCCCAGATCCCGGCCTCGTGAGCCTGGGCCGCCCATGCAGCCGCAGCACCTAAAAGGCAGCACAGACATTGGAGCCATTTGGAGAGAAAGTCATCTGATCATCATCTATATCTCTATGTATCTCTCACTCTCTCTCTCTCTCACTCTCTCTCTACCTACGTGGCTAGCTATCTGCCACAAGCGTTCCAGCAATCTGTCGGCATTGGCTCTTGGAGTGTCCGGGACTGTAACAGCCGAGAATGGTCACGGATCACTGGGCCCCACTGGGCCCCACTGGGCCCCACTGGGCCCCACTGGGCCCCACTGGGCGCCAGTGGGACCCACTGGACCCACTGGACCCACTGGACCCACTGGCCCCACTGGGCCTGCATCTCTGGCAGATTTTTTCTTCTTGTCAGATCGAACCCTCTCGCCCTTCAGCATGGCTTCTAGGGCCTGAGCCAATTTGTCAAAGCTCTCTTGAAGATTCTGAAGATTTTTGAAGGCTGTTCCAGGGTACTAGGTAATGAAAACAGCAAACATATCCGGCCGACTTTGCTTGATGCCAATATTGATGGTTGATGCAAATGTGGTCCTCTTCAGGATTCGCTGACGATCTCTTTCTCTTTTTGGGTTTTTGTTCCTTCTCGGAACCAGATGAACTCGAGCCTGCATCAGGTATTGTGTGAAGGAAACCTTCATAAATGCACTCGCTGCAAGTGGTTTCCCGCAAACAAGTTGGAGTTCTTTTAAATTATATTGTTTCATATTAAGTAAATTAAAAGATATTGTAATTTAATGTTCAACTATCATGATTAATTATTGATCTTGTGTGTTCAGTTCGCGTGGTACACGTGGGTTATCTGCTTCGTTGCCCGGTGCCCCAGCTGCGGTGGTTATGCAGTTCACTGAGATTCTCACTGGAGGAGCCCTCTGAAGCCTTTTCGACGAAACTCATGTTACTCGGCCTCAGCCCATCCGACTGTGACGGAGAAAAATCATCTATTTTCATGCGTGTGGAGACATACGTTCAATTTATCGAAAGAAGTTTAGGAGTCAAACTTCCGACAATATCGACAGATGGAAAAGCAGAGGTGGGAAGAGTCAGAGAAGAAAAGAGACGAAGAAAGAAGATCAGAGAAGAGAAAGAGTCAGAGGAAAGAAGATGCAGGCGCGCGAAAGGTAGAAAAGTCGCGATTCACTGCGTTTTTCATCGTTTTTCCAATGATTTGTGGCTCCGGAGGGTCGAAAAGTAGGCTCGCTAGAGCGGCGGGTGCGGAGCCATCTGGCCAGATGAGAGATGAAAAATTGCACGCCGCTGTGGCGCTAAGCACATTTCGAAGTCAAAATGCACAAAAGACACCAACGTTGGGCCACTTTTGGAAGTTGAGATGTCGAAAAAGTGCACGCCGTTGTGGCGCGAAGCACATTTCCAAGTCAAAATGTACAAAACACTTCAGCCTCGGAGCACTTTTGGAAGTTGAGGTGTCGAAGAGTGCACACCGTTGTGGCGCGGAGCACATTTCGAAGTCAAAAGTATTAAAAACTGACGGTCTCCGGAAACTTTTGGAAGTTCAGATGTGGTTTCGCGTGGCAGGCGCAAGGGATTCTGCACCTTGCCAAAAGTGAGCAAAGCGTGCGGGTTTTGTAGCATTTCCAAAAACGATGGCAGGCGTGGGACATTGGAAGAGGATCTGCAAACATGCATTTTGCGTGGCAGGCGTAGTACAAAAGACATGTTTATCAGAGATGTTAGGGGGTCCGGGCGCTGATTTCTTGAGAGGGGTTGCATTTTGGAGCATCAGATCTTCAGGTTTGCTGAGATGATTTTGCGTGACAGGTGCAGCACTTTGTATGACCCGGTATCACTTTTTCGTAGCAGGCGCAGTAGTTTAGACAGGTGGAGTCGAAAAATCGCAAAAGGCATTGGGACGAGGCCGTCAGCTCTGCACTCAACTTTCATTTTTGAAGGAAGTCTCGCAGAATTGCTTCTGCTTCGAAAAATTGAGGAAGTCTCCCAGACTTGTTTCAATTTTGACGTTGTCAAGTTGGAAAAATGAGGAAGTCGCGCAGAATAGCTTCGTTTTCAAGCTGCAGCTGGACAGATGGAAAGATAGGGGGGAGAGAGAGAGAGAGAGAGAGACAGAAAGATGGATAGATAGACAGACAAATAGATGGACAGATAAAGAAATAAATAGATAGACAGGTAGATAGATAACTACAACTACACTGTGCTACACTACAACTACCACTACCACTACAACTACAAGTGCAATTACATATACAGCTGCACCACATAACACTACACAGCACTACAAAACACTACATGTACTACATGACACTACATGAGGCTTCATAGCACAACATAAGACTACATTAGACTACATAACAATGCACAGCACTACATAACACTACATAAAACTACACTACAGCTACAACCACCACTACACCACTACACCACTACACCACTACACCACTACACCACTACACCACTACAACTACTTTTACTACTTTTACTACGTTTACTACTTTTACTACTTTTACTACTTTTGCTACTTTTGCTACTTTTGCTACTTTTACTACTTTTACTACTTTTACTACTTTTACTACTTTTACTACTTTTACTACTTTTACTACTTTTACTACTTTTACTACTACTACTTTTACTACTACTACTACTACTACTTTTACTACTTTTACTACTTTTACTACTACTACTACTACAACAACTACTACTACTACAACAACAACTACTACTACTACTACTACTACTCCTACTCCTACTACTACTCCTACTCCTTCTTCTACTACTACAATTGCAACTACAACAACTACGACTAGAAAGGCCACTACGCTACACTGTGACACTACACTACAACTGCAGCTATAATTACAACTACAACTACAACCCCGCCACACTACACTACACTACACTCCACTTCACCACACTTCAGCACGCTTCACCACCACTACACTACAACTACAACTGCAACTACAACTACAACGACTAATACAGCTACAGCTACAACTACAACATTACAACTACAACTGCATCAACGACAGCTACAACTACACTACAATACAACTGCAACTGCAACTACAAATAATACTTTGCACTACACTCTACACTCTACACCACACTACATCCAGCAGTTGTGGTTGAGGTGACCACTGCAACCGCAACCACTCCAAAAAGCACAACTCCAACCACCTTTCGGTCCATCAATGGATTGGCTTTGCCATCCATGCATCACAACAACTCACCTCTCCTATAGTGTCCTGTCTTTGAAACTCCCGCCACCGCCTTGTGCGGTACTACTGATATCATACGTACTGTATCTTATTTATTCTTATTGTACAGTATTATATTTCTGTATATTATTGTGCAGTGTATATATATATACATAGAGAAAGAGATAGAAATAGATGCAGAAGAGAAAACATATGGAATTCCATCGCATATCTGGTGGGGTTCAACACCCTGAAAATATGATCGTCATCCGAAATAGGATGGAAAAAATGCTTCCCACACATCAATCAGGTGTCTCTTGGACGCTGGCCTGACAGATACCACCTCCTTGGTGTCTTCCATTTCAATCGTCCAGCGACCCTGAAGAAGCGCTCGCAACACGCAACATCAGAAAACTCTCAACAAAACCTCATAGAAACCATGGAATGCGATGAAATACCATGAATATGTATGCCCATCGAACAGGGAGCATTGAAATGAAGAATGGCAGACGAGATAAACCAATCACGGCTTATCTCTGTCCTTGTCTGCGAGAAACTCCTTCGTCACGCCGACGCGTTCGTTGAGTTTCCTGCTTCTAGCTCCCACAATTGCAGAATCTAGGGTATTCAGATAATTATATACTCATTCTTCTGACAAATTGATCACCTGCCTTTTGCCCACACTTTCAAATTAGCCTTTTTTTGGTCTTCACTGCTTTTAGCATGTAGCAGTTTGATCAAACAGTTGTCCTGCCGGCTTCGGACTCAAGGCCATTCACCTCATGGTGGCTGGAAGGCATTGCTGGGGGGTCTCCATGGGTCTCCCTCGTTTTTTTCCAAAGTATTTGCCGACAATGTCAGCAGCATGCCCGTGAAAGGGCAAGAAGCCTCGGAAACATCTTCTATGTTTGATTTCATAACCGTGGGGGACCCACCCACATAGCATTCCTAGGCTACAACTGACTTTTGGTGTCTTAACACATAGCAACAACATGTCTAAATGCCTCAACTCGATCGCCAACTTGAAATGTTGATTCAGCACCTGCCCAAAGTGTGAGACAGCCCAATTGAGATTTTCCGAGGTGATGTGACAACGAATCACGTTGAATGATTGTGAATCATAGAAAAGGCCTTGCCAATCTGAATGGATTCTGAATGGCACAACAAGATTCTACTTGGTCTTCACCCTGCCTGTTTGGTTTGGCGCTTTCTGACCACCGGATGCAGCCGGCAGCAGCTGAAGATTCTCTGGTCTTGCAAAGGCGCATTCTCAAAAAGTGGCAAGAATTGCACGAGGAGTGTGAAAGAGGGTGGCCGCATCACCAAACCAAGTAATGGTGAAAAAGTTTGATCTCTTGCCTGGAATGTCAAGTTGTTAACTTCAGCTGCCTATTGATGCTCTTCCAAACAGGCAAAAAACAATCAGAAAATAACGAGGAGATGCATCAATGTGCTATCCTTCTCAAACACTCCTCGCGGTTTCAGTTCACCCGGCCTGATGCTGACAACTTTGTCTGCAAGACTGATTTGGTAGCGGCCTTTCTCCTCAAGAAAACTTGTGATGGTTCCGACCTGCTCAGAAGCCCGAGTACCACTGCAGCGTCTTTACAATCCAAGTCAAGAGAGTGAAGACAATTAAAGATTGTGTGATATACAGACAAGGAATATAGAAAGATGATGTACTGAACGAGTCAAGATGAGAGATTTACTCCAGACATGTGCAAAATGCATCACATTCCGTGAGCGCATCATCTGCTCCGAATCGCTGTGTCCTCTCCGCGCCTGCCCGTTCAGTTGCTTCCCAGCTTCAGATTCCAAGCCATGGATCTCAACTTTGGACCCGTTCTTCAGGTCACCCTGCCCATAATTCTGACAAAGAATGTCGAGAAACCTTTGATAGCAAAGATGCGTAAAATTATATTATGTGTGTTTATATAATTCATGTTAAAGGCATTCATTAAGGAAAACAGTTTCATTTAGTTTCCTGTTGGAATTTCTGTTGGCGAGTAACAACAGCAACGTTACAATCTACAGCCAACGGGACATAGGAAGACCTTCTCTGCCAGAAGCGCATGGGATTCCAGAGCAGGACTTTATGAAAATGTGAGACCACATTTCAACATCATTTCAATGTCCACACATGCCCTGCTTCAACCAGAAACCATCAACCAGTCTCTGTGGGCACTAAAAAACTGCCTTCGAGCTTGCAAATTGCCATTCACATCCATTCACAATTCAATGGCCATGCTCGTCTGTCCACTCTGTACAGTGGCCTATGTATAGTCACATAGTCCCTTGACGTTCCCATTTCCCGGCAGGGCCAAGGCTTGGGGCAAGCATGGACACATGCATGAGTCTCACTTGCAGTATTAAAACATATGAAAAGTGGGTCTCTGGGACTTGGCATTCGACTGCATCATCTGCATCTGATTCCATGGACACCGCAATATGCATAATATATATATATAAAGAGATGGCCATGGATATCAAATTATATATTCATAGACAAGATAACTTCACATCGTTACATTATGATTTTGCGAAGGCTTCCTCCCCTGGCCTCTGCAACTTTCGGCTGCTCCGGCGCTTCCTCTGGAGCACTGGCCTGTTGTTCAAAACAGACCCAGGAAGTCCGAGAAGTTCTGAGGCATAGGCAGATGTGTTTCATGAAGTCATCGTTATATAGTGTATAATATATATATATATCACACACATATATATATATATCACATATACTGTATATATAATATGTATCACATATATATAATACGTATCACATAATATTTATATAATATATATGTATCACATATATATATATATCACATATATATATATATACACAACATATATATATATCACATATATATATATATCATATATATATATCACATATATATATACACAACATATATATATATCACATATATATATATCATATATATATATATCACATATATATATATACATATCATATATATATATATATATATACATATCACATATATATATATATATATATACATATCGCATATATATATACATATCATGTATATATATATATATATATATCTATATTATATACGCATATCATATATATATATATTGTGATGACAAACATCACGAAGATATACAACAATAACATACAAACAGCAGATTTCGATAGATTTCGCATATTATACACATTAAATACACATCAAGCCGCCAACCCCAAGGGAGATTTGCTTCAAGAAAAGCTCGGCCTCAAGAAGTGTGGACTCCGAGACTCCAGCAAGCCTTGGCTCTGTCAAATCTCTTAAAACAGATTCAGGAGATCTTGAATCTGTCAATAATGGATCCATTGATTCTTCTTGACGATCCTTCCTCATCAGATGAAGACTCTTGCGAAAGGTCCTTTGGAGAGGCTGTTACCAAGCTGCTCAATCTTCCATCTGAAACATAGTCACACATTGGTGGCATATTCGGCCAAGTATGGCCAAGTGACGTCGCTGCCTTCATCGCATTTTCAAGTCTGGCTTTTGCAGATTTCATGGCCTGCGCGCTGTCCAAGATGATTGGCCAAAACCAAATTGCCACAGCAAAATTCGGAAACGGCTGCGTTTTATGAAGATTGAAGATTCATAAGCCTTTGAACAACACTGCAAGAACAACACTAGCATCACTAGCAACATGTATCAATTGATAGCCATGATCACTGTGGTTCCACCTCCTCATCGATTGCAGATCCTTCCTGGATTGGTCAGGCTTGGCAAGCACCCATCCCACCACCAGGCAATCTGAGATATATAGTTTAACATCTAAACAAGAGATTGCGTGAGATTACAACATATTTCCGTCATAGTGCAATAATTGTCTCACATTGGGACCTGGCAGCCATGCTTCCTCTGCTTCGTCTGCCATGGTTTTGACAATTGCACTGCACGGGTACAGTGCAGTGTATGCAGAGTAAACATATTTTTTCCCAGGGTATTTGAGTTGGACTTGGCTTTGTTGCTCATTGGCGCCATCGCCTCTTAATGTGTTCAGTAGACGCGAACATATTGAGCTCGTCTCTAAACTCTGCGGAACTTCAAACCTGTACACCGGACAGTGCCGGACTACATGGTGCAGGGGTGTTTCGGCACCGTTGGGCTCCACGCAATGCCTTGCAATGCATGCTTCCCAGAAACGAATCCAGCCACCCTCTGCACCAAGAGACTCATGACTCATGTCCCCTTTCTACACAGTCCGCATGCAGAACTGGGAGAAAACCACCTGCTTCCCTCTGATTGGGTTGATCATATGATATGAATTCCAGGTCTATTTTTGAAATGAATAGTTTTGCTCTGTGTTGCATGCCTGACTCTCAACTTAAATTGCTCCAACCAGTCTCACACTGTGCGTTCCTCTCAGCTCAATCGTTCCAGCAAATTTTGCCGCAACAGCTGAACTCCACGATTCCTTGTTATGCCCATCCTTGGACGCAGCTTGTTGCCTCTTGGGAAAACGTTGAAAGAACAAAACAGCAGGAAGAAAATGTAAGACTCCTTCCAATTCCACAAAGGACCAGCTATGACAAAATCAATTTTCATGAAAAGCACGGCTATCATAAGTGAACAGAACTGAGTACAAGACTTGGGAACCACTCCTACAGCATTGTTGCACACCAAGTCTCCACAGATCAACAGCCACGGAAAAGTATGGACCCAAAAGGACTTTTCCATCCTCTGTCGCCTCTGTCGCCGAGCTCACACCCTCCTGACCTTCCACCTCTGCATCAATAGCTCTTGCAGCTTTTCCAAATTCATCTTGCGTCTCTGCGGTCTCTGCCGTCTCTGCCGTCTCTGCGGTTTCTGCGGTTTGGGCGGTTTCTGCGGTCTCTGTCACAGAGTGACCTGGAGGATTTGGAAGGAAGTCGTGCTCCGAGTGATCTGAAGCATGAGAAACGTGAGAGGGTGCATCAGTGGTTGCAGAGGACTCCTGAGAGACTTGAGACTCTTCTGGCTGAAGGGGCTTCACATCAGCTTCAGAATGCTGCTCAGCTTCAGGCTTGGCCAGCCGCTCTCCACTAGATGCAGCTTCACTGCTATCTTTGGACTCTCGTCTCAGAACATCTGTAGACCATGAAGAAGATGGATCTGATTGTCCACAATCAGTTCCGGGACCAGTGCCCTCCGTGCCAGTTTCCTGTGATGCTTGAGAATCTCCGGCCTTTTCCACAACGACATCCTCAAACGGCAGGAGGAGTGCAGCTTTCTCACACATTGCGGTGGTCTCAGTCATCTCAGTTTCAGCGGCTTCAGCGGTCTCAGTGACTTCAGTTTTTTGAACTTCAGCCTCTGTCGGCTCACTGGTGTTCTTCAAGAACTTTGCCTGTCCTGGAATACTGCAATCAGAGCATCTACAATACATACTGCACATGATGTAATTTGCTTAGAGCCAAAAAAGATCAAAAAAGTGCATTGTAAAACCAACTTCCGAGTTGTCACTGCATCTCACCAACTCCTCATATCTTCCATTAAAAGTATCTCTAAGAAGAGCCTTTAGAATTGAAACCCGCTTTTGAATCTCAGCAATAGTCCTGGAATAGGACCCATAAAGTGCACAACTCCAGAGAAGGGATCAAGCATGCCACCGTGGATTTCAAGCTTGCCATTCTGCACCTGCTCCCTCAATCGTCCACTTGATTCTAGCAGGAATTGAATTGTCTGGATGACGTTTAGGGTCATTGCACGCTCACAGACAAAGCCTGCATCCGCGCAAGGTCCCATGTCTTCAGCAGCCTGTTGCAGTGTGGGGAATTGTGTTTCTCCACCCGCAAAGAATTTTTCAGACGCATGCAGCAAAGTCATGCACTCTTTGTGCCCCATGACAAGGATGAATTTGCTTCCAAGTTCGGTGCTCAGCTCAAGATTCTTCAGCAAACCTGCCAAGGTGACCACGAAACCGCAAGGCTTCCTAAAGTCCCATGCGCATTGCACTTCTTATGCACAATGCATCACAGTGCGCAACAGCACAACGTACAACATCACAAGCAGATCAAGTTGGTGTTGAACGGTACCAGTAGGTGCGCCATCATCTAAGGACTTTACGTTTAAAGCATTTTTTGATATTCTTAGTAGCATGGCCTATCATGCTTATCATGTGTTACTGTACATTGCTTTACCATCATTGCAGAGTGGTCCAGCAAGGTCCAGCCTTCTGAGCTTCCATAGCATCCATGAAGCGTTGTCACGAAAAGCGAGCCAGGCTGGGCATCGAAGATGGCTTCCGCAGCTCTGGGGCAGTCGGTGCAAGCAACAATCGTAGCAAAGGGCCCCGTGGCAGGGGCTGGAAATCTGCGAACTCCTTTCACGGAACGAGAGTTGCCCATCTGCAGGGAATGAAAGGCATCTTTTGGCGTCTGAGGAATGAGGTTGGCTCCACGTGACCACTGCGAGACCGAGGTGGCCGAGGTGGCCGAGGTGGCCGAGGTGGCCGAGGTGACCGAGGTGGCCGAGGTGACTGGTGGAATGGTCATACTGCCAGCCCTGGTGTAAACTTGGAATCCATGTGGAGTTCCATGAAGCATACCATTGCCACTGCCATTGCTGTCAGAGAAGGAAGGTCTACGACTGTAAGAAACTGTTGGAGTCATTGGAAGGGAGACACTGCGAGGAGTAAAGCACAAACTCCTGCGCCGCACAACGACGCCCCCATCACTGCCCTGGCTTTGCTGCCGAACCAAGGGAGACATCGGTAGCATCATCTGGCTTGGGGTGCCTGGGCTGACGCAGGGTTCCATGACGCCCTGGTAGTTGATGAAGCAAACTAAGCTAAGTAGCCATGCAGCTCAAGCCAAACACAGCAGTCACGTTGTGCTTATGGAACCAACGCCACAATAACACAGTAATTACAGCACGAACACGGTGCAACGTGTCTAGAAATGTGAATCCAGCTTCTGTCACTTGAATGTCTTCTACAGCTTGTCAATTCAAAATGTCAATCCTTTAACATCCTTTAACTCTCTTTTGTGACCTTTCAATCGAAACTTGCGGCCAACGATCGAGGCAAAAAATACAGTGGAGTGCTCTGCGTGTGCAAGTTTTTTGTGGATCTTGTTGGGCTATCAAGTATCGCCTGCATCAACTTCAGCCTGCAGCCATGCAGAAATTCTCGAACAACTGTCCTCTTGCTCCGCAGCAGAACTGAGTCGTTGTACCTCTGCCACCTTGTTGGAACCAAGAGAAGTGCTTTGCAGAGGTTTGGCGTAATGATACGATGATGATACGATGATACGCAAACAAAGTGAGAATCGGCCTAAGCCTAGCTTGTCAGACAGCCGTGGATTCTGGGCTTCAAACTGCAGCTCGGAAGGTCCGCAGTGCGGAAGCAGCTGCCTGTGCAGGGCCAAACATGGTCCGTCAGAAAGAATTTGGTAGTCTGGTTTGGAGGTGATGTCAAGAAATGTTAAAACGCAGTGGCACTGTGCCATCAGACGCCCTTCAAGCAAATTTGAACCGCTAAAGGTATCCTGCGAACTAAAACGAAATCTTATCGACTGTGATCCATGTCATATCCATTGCATATCCATGTCCAAGCGATGAATTTTTTTTATCAGCGTCCAACTCTGCCCATCGCATGCTATCACTCGCTGGTGATTGTGTCAGCTGCAAACGCCTCAGACATTGCATCTGCTGGCTTTGCATCCTTCCTGCAGCATGAATGGTGAATACTTCAGTGCATTTGTGAAAATCTACTGTGGCAACAAAATGTAACAAGATGCTATATACAAACGCATGGAGAACAAGAAATAATCCTAATTGCTTGATTAATTTGATTACACATGGCCCCAATCCTTTCTCCAGTTGTTTCATCTCCCATGGCGCAATGCTGGGAGAAAAGCGAAGTTGATGGTAAAGCATGTCCGCAGTAGTTGTGCCAGTTGTTATTGTGTGCTGGTAAACTGGTAAACGAAGGCGTGACCTGTCCGTACTTCATTCAACTTGTGATCTTGGCAAACTTCACCGAATATTACCAGCAAATCTCTTCGGTGTGGTCTCCGAACAATTTATACTGTATATACAATTATACAAATATACATATATTACATACATTACATCTCAATAAATATAATGTATATAAATATACATACATCAGTTTTATACTATGCGCAACCTGCTCGTAAAAATCAACTGCATATGCTTTGAATGGATCAGGTTCTCATTCGGCTGTTGCTGTGTTTGACTGTTCGCATTGCATCTTGTACGGCCGAGATGATCATGAAATCAAATACAGGTGTCTTTCGGGAGGAACGGTGCGCAACCAAAATTCCATCCTTGCACAGTCTTGGGATGAAAAATCCAACGTAGGTGAAGGATGGTGAAGACCAGTAATATCAGTAATGTCACATAATGTCACCCTCCATGCCAGGTCCATTCTTGTGCTAGACAAAGGCGCACGCTCTCCGCACTTTGTCCTGCATCGTGATTGGAAAGCCTTCGGTCTGATCTCATCAAATCTCATCTAATCACTCGTTAAATTCATTTAAATTCCATCTCCTTTGATTGAAGGGATCGACAGAGACCCCGCCGTCATACCATCCAGGACGGCAATTTATGTAAGGAGAAAGCTTGCCAACTGAATTCATACGCCTTGTGGCGCGGGACGTTCTGTCCTGCAACTTATATTAAGTGCCCGTCGGCGGACACAAAACCTTTTGGAACATGTTGGCTCAATACTCATGCTGCCAGGAATTCAATCGGTTTGGGGAGCATGAATGATTGAGTTTGGTTGATTACAGTAAATTCGTGCAAACAGGGGCAGAAAGAGATTTAAATCTGCAAACAATCTTCTGCGGGCAGCGGTATCCCTAAATTTGAGCATTGAGGAAGCCAGTACGTGTGAGCCACAATTCCAAAGCAGTTCAAGTATGAACCACGGCAGGAACTCGAGACTCCTTCATTGCATTGAGTGCAGCAATAAGACTCCGAACTGCCTTCTCAATTCCCTAGACATTGGTCAAAATTGTCAAGAAATGTCAAAATGGTCAAAATCATTGCCAAAAATCTTAGTTTTTTGAAAAAAAGTATGATGTCATTGGTCAGGAGGCATCTTATATCATCTTCTGCTAGGAAAGAAGGCCCTTCAATCGAGTCGTAGGCAACAAAGCCCTGGGCATCCACAGCCGCCCGTGGCCGCCCGTGGCACCATTCAATTTGGCTGCCAAAATGGGCGCGGATGCTAAGAGATGCTAAGATATTTGATGATATTGTGTCTTTCTGACGAGCTCAGCAACCACCTCGCCTGCCAAGGGGGTACCAAGATCTAAAATTATGTTCAAAGCTCGCATTTCTTGTGCATATTATTGAAGATGCTCGAAGTAGGTGTTCGACGCTATTGTCTCTCAACTGACGCCTGCGCTTCTTGACTGCCGCCGCTTCCTTTGGCATAGTGGACAGTGATTGACAGTGTATTGCAAGGCAAGGAGAGTCGGAGGGTACAATATTACGTGGTCATGACGAAACAAAGAAAGAGCTCCACTCAGTCACTCATTTTTGTGGCCATCTTTTGAAAGGAACTTTTGCATGCAACTCTGCTTCTTGGATTGGTGCACTAGTGGTGAGAAGGCGAGGGGTACAGTATAGTGTCCAAAAAAGATCAATACAGTATAGTGTCATTCATATTTCGTTAATTTGGTTCCTTTAAACTCGCTCAAACTTGCCACAACGGGTCTAAGGGAGTCGCAGCCGCTCTTTCGAACTCTTCCTGGCATGACCAAATCTCAAGAATTGATGCACGTGATGCTTCAACTTGCAACAAACATATTAGTGCATCGTGGCATAGTGCATGCAATGCAGCTTTTAGTTGTATGGCAATGCAAACAAAAGAGGAGAAAACGGAATCGCACAAGGAATTGACTCCAGAAAAACATATAGCATCCTATAGGCTATAGGCGAGTGCTCAATTCTATCCCAGACATTCCCAGACCCCGTCCTCAGCAGCCCAGGCCTGGGAAAGAATCCACACAACGGATGACAACGGTACATCTTGAGGACACAAAGCAAGCATGTTGCACGGCATGTAGAAGAAATTAGAAGAATACAAAGCACAGAATGTATACAGAATGCAATGGAACCATCTTTTGTAACGAAAGCCTCTTCAATCATCTTCCCCTAGGCAGAAACACCTTGCAATTTAAAAACAAAATTGCCTTACAGATCTTACAGTATCTTACAGTCTACTTATGTCTAATTAGATTAATTAGTCTAATTGCAGCTGAGTCGGTTGCAGCTTCAGCTTCGGCAAATGCAATCTCCTATCAGGACTGGAGCGGTTTGAAGGGGGTGGGATCAGTGCAGAGAATTGAGGAGATGCGCTGAGTTCCCAATAGTTTCAATTGTTCTGAGCTTTTGGGAAAAGTGCTTCGCTGCTTCACGCTTTGCTCCTCTGCTCGCAGGGCGGCTTCGTAGGCTGCCTTGCACCTGGATAAAAACTTCTGCATTCTATATGCTCACGGTGAATGTATTTGGGTCTTTTAGGATGCAATGTCTGATGCACCCCTTGCGCGCGACACTACATTGCCGGGCTTTATGTCATCAATGTGCAACTTGGAATCAGAAACAGAACACTTCACAACACTACTCAACCAAGAGGAGGCAGGCGCAATGCAATAAGCGCACTTTTTTGACATCCAATCACCAAGATTCACCAAGGCATCAATGACATCCCAAACATCAATACCAAGAAACCTATACTACTAGCGGATCCGATAGGCCCGATAGGCCCGATAGGTGTACCGACCGCATCAATCTTCACGACGTGACCCAATGACAAATTTATACAAAGTTCATCAATTTGGCTCTCTTTGTGTACTGCAAAAGCGGTCAGAAAACCTATGAAAGTATCCCACCAAACTAAGATCAACTGATACGACCTAGCTGCCCTGGGCTGAAACTCGACCAACGTGAAGGAGATCCAAAAAGAATTGCACAACAAGGAGCCTAGGGAAACAATGCAGCCTTTGGGCAGGAAGGAAGTGGTGAAACACGTCCACTCAAACACCGTGATCGAATCATCCTGCGGATGTCTCTCTGAATCACCTCTTCACCCACCTGCCGGCTGCTCGGCACAGCAGTACGTTACAATCTAAGCATGTGACATCGCATGAGAGTCATTAAGATTGAGAAAGATGATAGATTGAAGGGACTGACAAGTGGACAGTAATATGACTATATATACTATATATGATTGCATCACTTTTCAAGCTTTGACCCTCTCACGATGAATGCGGCTGAACAAAAAGCCTTGGCCCTTCCCGGGTTCCTATTACGTGTATCTGTATCATTATGTCTCTGTCTCAGACCATGTTTGAAAGGGCTTCGGCTTGAAGAACAAATCATGAATATTAATAATATTAGGTACGAGTATACTGCGCGAGCATGAAAGGTACAAGTGCCAACACTTGGACAACAAACACTGTCACTACCACACATTTGAGTGAAATGCACATTGGAATATTATTGAGCACGCTCGTTCTTCATGCTCTTTACATCTCTTTACGCTCTTTAAAGTAGGCAGCCCAAATCCAGCGGCTCTGAAAGTAACGCGGCTACAACTACGCTTCATTGGAACAGAGTGGACCAGCATGGACCCTGCCTATGCGCAGCAAATGCCAGGCGCTCTCTTCTTGGGCCTTGGCCGCCGGGCAATGCGTGGGTCATGCTCTGCTGGAAGACCGCGTACCTGCACAGCAGAGCACACAACACAACAAAACACGTGACGTCACCGTGATGTGACCGTGATGTCACCGTGACATCAAGCAACCAAATCTATCCAAATCACGCGAAAGCGTACCGGAACCGAGCGTCTGCTGTAAAGTTGAGTACATGGCAGAGAAAATGTGAGTGCTTTCAAGACACACAAAGCGAATGGCACTCATAGTATAAGTCTATTATATATATATGTATATGTATTTTGAAACCTTCGAAATTTCGTGTACTAGGAACGTCTGAGCAGTGTTCAAAACTCCTGTCGTCCCGTTATACTGGCTGGTTAATAGGATTTCCCATAATGGACTGTGATTCCTCAGTACAATAGTATAATTAGTATAATTTACAGTATAATCATGTATAATCCCATAGTATAGTGATAAACCAACACGGGTTTCGAACACTGCTCATCTCGGAACGGGAGAATGCATTGTGATGCATCGAGTGCCTTTATGTAATATGATGCTTTTATGTGTATATGTGTATATATTTATAATAAATTCAAATGTTCTCAAATGTTCATTTTCATATATGGTTGTTTCTGTATGAGTATGTTTCGGTGACAGATGTGTTCAACGTGTTCTGCGCACTCCTGTGCTGCGCATGCGCCTTGACGAAGGTGGGAAGCCGATTGGGGTCATCGTCTTCCTCAGCATCAGGGCCTGTCACCTGCGTCAGGTTGGTCCCAACTCGCTGCGCCCCCATCTGCGGCATCTGCACCTCATGCCACAACTGTCATGTGACTGTCACGTCTGACGTTGATGGTTCAAGCAAGTTGGCGAACATGTTCAAACATGTTCAAACGACTCGCAACCAATTCGCAACCCTCATCGCGGTGAAGGCACAGATTAAAGGGCGACTCGGTCACAAACCACGAAAAAGTTTAAAGAAGCAAAACCTGGATGATTGCTCCAGATTTCAAACACATTCAAAAACGTTCAAAACCTGTTTCACTTAATAGTTTGATGTTGAGATTCTGAGGTCTGCGGAACCTCTCCAGGCTTTGCATAGCCGTGGGAGATGTACGCTTGTTGGCCAGCTGGCTGTATCACCTTGAGCAACACCAAAGAGCTGGTCAAATTTATGAAGCAAACACCCAACAATGATACAACATGATTCATAATACAACATGATACAACAATGTTCAGCATGTTACAGCATGATACAGCATGTTTCCTTTATCTCGAGATTGGTCATGATGCGGTGGCACACGTGTCCCCTGCACACAGGGTGCTTGATGGCGCATGTGAATCGAGTCAGATTGCGCTATGGCCAGGACCTGTCCGTAAGCTCCTTCTGCCATGCCGCTCTGCAGTGGCTGCACTTGCGGCTGAACTTGCGGTTGGTATTGCAACTGCGCGTACTGTGGCTGGGGCTGAGCCTGTGATTGCGGCTGTCCATACTGTGCTAGCTGTGGCTGTCCATAGGCTGGACTTGCCATGTAAGCACCACCGGAGAAGCCCGAATACGTTGCAGGGTATTGCTGCATCTGAGGCATCTGAGGCATCTGCATCACAGACTGCACTGGCTGTGGACTTACGGCACCAGCATACGCAGGCTGGTACTGCGGCTGGTATTGTGCTGGCTGCGCATAGTACGGCAGTTGCCCGCCGCTGTACTGCACATACATCCGGAGCGGCTCTGGGCTGGAAATCCCTTCCTGCTTCGCTCCTTCCCCAACAGATTTGGCCAAAAGCTGCAGGGCTTCACACTGCAGCACAAGCATGACACAAGCATGAAACAAGCATGAAACAAGCATGAAACAAGCATGAAACAAGCATGAAACAAGCATGAATCAGTGATTCAATTATGTTCATAGCACAAGCATGTGGAAAGAAATGTTGAAGAATTGAGACTTGATTCTCTTTGAAATGATGAGGATTGAGGCTTCAACTTTTCCGTCTCGGCAGATTTGGACAGCGCATCTGCTGCCTCTTTCATTTCAAGTTTGATACCATAATGTGGAAACGGTCGAAGGAGAGTCATACCAACATTCCTGTGTAGCAAACACCGAATGCTCAGGGAACAGGGTCTAGAATTCTTCCAAGTCTCAAGCCTGATCTTATAAGTACCAGCAAAGAAGGCCAACAAAGCAAGCAACATGTCCAATGTAGGAAATGGCCGCCTTGTCTTCCAGAGACTGCAAGGATAGAGAAGCAGCAATGATGTCATTCCCCTAGTCAGTCGAAGCAAGACTCCACCCATCTCTTCACGTAATTAACTTGCTTTCACAGAAAACATACATTGGATCTGGCGACTCACAACTGCTCACGACTCACAAGTGCTTATACTAATATGTATATATGTGTATGTATATACATGTATATATATAATATATATACATATATATTTATATATATATAATTATATATATATAATTTTGTATCAGCTCATTTGATGGCCATGACTCCACCTCGAACGGATAGACAGGCCCAGTTGGCTCAGGTGGCTCCTGGGTCTCCTGATCAGTCAAAAAATGTCAAAAGCTGCAACTTGCAGCATCTCTTCCATGCAGTGATCATCAATAGGTTCCATGTCAAAATATTTCAAATGTCAATCAATGTACAGTGAAAGCCCGGCAATGCAAGTAGCTTTGGTTCTGCTGCACAGGCAAAGTTTCAAGTATCCAAGATGGAAAGTTTTTTTAACTGAATCAGCATCCACATCACTCAGCTCCAGCACAAGTGCCTCTTGCTGTGTTAGGCTGTGTTCAGAAGTGGCTTGATGGCTTCTGATTCGAAGACTGTTGCGTCACCAATTCATGTCACAGCATTCTCCGTCTTGCCAACAGCACCTTCATGTTAGGCCGCGAAGGAAATGCTTTTAACTGCAGACCTCAAGACATGTCAAGGCACACCTAAGCAATGGACAAACACAATCCTTGTCAAACATGATGATGCTCAAATGAATAAGAGACAACACCACATGTTGTCCTTTTCTGCATTATCTGCATTACAATTACCTGTACTTCTTGCATGTATTGCGCTGTTGCTGTCAAAAACGACAGAATGCTCAAAAAAGGTTCTGGCGGCTTCTCAGTTGGCGATTCTCTCGCTGGAACTCTTCCTGTGAGGTTTGCGCTAAGCCGCTACGCAGGTGTTTGCAACATGTCGGTCAGTCACTACACCTAAGCCGTGTGGAAGCACAATGGAGACAAGGGAGAGACCGAGAAGCTCACCCAGAAACATCTGTGCCTGGACCTGCTTTTGAAACAAGCAGAATCGGTAGTAGTCCAGCTTCGTCCAATCATCCATGCAAGTAGGCCTAAGTTCCACAACCGGACTCAAAGCAAACGCCCCAAACTAGAAATTTAAGGGGTGATCAGTGATCGGGTGATCTAGAGCATCAAGGGGACTGGCCAGATCTGCCGGGAGAGAACTGGGTGTTTGACAATGGACCACATCCTTCACCTGTCCAAAGTCACCGTGATTAACTTGTGCAATCAATGGGAGCAAATTACAAACCAAGTAGATACCTGGAAGTACACAGAAAAAGGAATGGTCATGAAACCCACCTGCGCTTGATTGCAGCAACTGTCTGGATTTGGCAGAGGCTCTCATCATGGTCTCACACTCTCAGTCTGGCTTGAACTGTAAATGGCACTGAGAGAAAATGTCTTGCAAACTACCTGCAGACCTCCTCAGTTTGAAAGGCTGTGAGTTTACAAAAAGTTTACAACAATGACAAACTAATGGGCCCTCTTTCTCGCGCAAGGCCAAGTGTTCATCATCCTTCATCTGAAACATGCAAGCTAATTACACACAAAAAACAAAATGCTGCACACGGCAATCGGTGCCAATTTAATCGAACACTTCCACCCTGAACTCAGCATTTGCGTTCCTCTTGAGTGTTTCCCTCTGAGATAGTGTGAAGGGTGTTGTCATGGGGGCAGTGGTCCCTGAGCGATTTGGCTGTTCAGATCCTCTCAGCTTTGGCCAGGCTCAAAACCGCAACATGCCTCTCGCGTGAAACTCAAAAGTAGGAGAAGGTGTTGGAAAGTTCGCTCAGTGACACAAGCGGACATACTTGCATACAAATTGTTTGAATGTTCACCCGCTCTGCCACTTTGAAACCTGTCTTTCCACATTTGATCATGTTTGCATGATTTTGCATGCATTTTTGATGGGTCTAACACACCCATGTTTGCATGTGTTTCTGCGACAATTCAACCACGCCCAGGAAACCAAAGAGGAAACCAAAGGAATAAGATACAATAAGATGGAATCCAATAAACATGGGTGTTCTATCATGTTCTATCTAGACATCAATCTTTAAAGATCCCTCTCTGTCAAGCTCTTGGGGAGCTCCGTGATCTGGTGCCTCAATCTCCGCCCACAGTGCATCTGCGGACTCCTTGGATCCAGGCTTCTCGACCTGTCTCCGCACAAAATCTGAGCGCAAGCAGCACAGAAAAATCACACAGCATGCAGCTCAGAAAATGGCAATTTTGGTCAGTGATTCTCTCGGACGTCTCAAATCCACGCGAGCATGTGAGAAAAGACCAGTCGCGCTTGTGATATCTTGTGACCCACGTTTTGCATCACTGTACTTGCCGCAAAAACAATCAAATTATTTGCTGAAAAAAAATGACATTAATGAATTAAAGATACACAATGCCACCAGCTGCATTGGCAGCATACCATCGATCGCAGTTTGCCCATAACTGTGACTGTATCCGACCCGCATTAGACATTTACAAATGTGCAATGTTCCTCTTTCAAATGCCTTGAAGGCCCGAGCTTTCTCACCAATGGCAATGTACCTCCATTCAGAGTCTACAAGAAAAGTGCAAGAGGAACAAGAGGAACCAAGTCAGGTAAACTGTAAGAACGTGGCAAAGCTTAGGATCCATGAGGTAGAATAACGAAATAGATACGAAGCAGCACCATTCATTGCACCCTTGACAATGCAAGTCTAATGTGCCTACTTGAAACGCGTAAAAAATCTTAAAACATAGCAGAAAGACAAGAGAGCAAAACATAGATAAACAAAGTAAAACTACAAATTCCCAAAGGAACCATCAACTGAACTGCAAGCGCACCCTTCCATCTGTTCCGACTCCATGTCCCAGCGGATGCCAGAGACCACAGCATAGAACTGGGCTCGGAACTCACTGGTATCGTTGCAGTAGTGACTGCAAGTTAGAAAGTTGGGACATGCTGGGACTAGATCAGTCCATGATCTTTGACAATCATGACTCATGATGACTCATGACAATCAAAGGAGGGCACGCAAATCTGTGAGTCAAGACAACTGCTCGTGTAGCTTGGTCGATGTCAGAATCAAAATCAGACGGTGTGCCACATGTCAAAAGCTTCGAAAGAAACAAAGGTTCAGATGTGCAAATCTAAATGTGACTCACAATGACGTGACCGGCATATATTCATATTACATCATATTACATCATATGACTATTCATATACACTATATTATACCATTCACATCCTGACCATCCTTCCCTTAAGATTCATGGCCTCGTAAAGGCTGCTGGCAATCTCCAAGCGCTGCTTCTCATCTTGCAAGTGCTCTTGTGCCTCGTGCCTGAAGCTCTGAACAGAAAGGATACATAAATATGCATAAATATGCATAAATAATAATTATAGAATTAGATTAAAATAATGATCAAATCATCCTAAATCGAATGGATCAAGTAACAAGAGCTCCAGGGTGTTCACAGCTCAAATTGAAAACTGTTCAAAAGAGCACAGAGAAAGAATACGAAAGAGGTTCGCAATGGTTCGCACGCCTGAGCTCCAGCACCTTCGTATGTGCAGATTGGACCGCTGCGCTGTTGTCCTCGATGTCTGGCCACAAATTCGAGAGGCTCTTCGCCTGTGCACTCACGCAGACGGCAAAGTTGTCACTATATCATACAATTGCATAATTCATCATGCTTCGCAGTCTATGGAGCTATCCTGAACGCACAGGACCTTTTTGGTTTGAATTTGATAGTCTACAGGTTTTGAGGATCAAAACACGATTGTGGGGTCGATTTCGGACACGACGATGCACGCAACTGAAACGACCTTCGTCAAACGTTCAAGGGCTGAGTCGTGTATCAGTGGGCAAGCTAATTCAAAGGAATTAAAATCAAAGTGCATTCAAATTCATCAAATCCTTAATTCATGTATATGTCCCAAACGTCAACCTGCTACTCTTCTTGAATCTGAAATCCTGAAGGAGGAATCCCGAACCTGTTGGATACTCCCTCTAGCTTTAGCTCAGATTTTAGTATCCCATAGTATCCCAGTAAAATCAGTAAGTCAAAATATGTCAAAATGAACAAGAAATAACGAGAAATAACGAGAAACAATAGAACAATATAGAACACATTACTCGCATTACTCGCTGGTCATGTTCCTGACCTCCCTCAGCTAAGTCTGAAGCATTCTGCTGTAGCTCCCATCGCTCAAGAGACACCTGGTGTAGCTAAAGCATAAGCAACGAGTCAACGAGTCAGAAATGTCAGAAGGATTCAAAAGGTGCATACTCCACTGCAAGAGCCGACAAACCTCCCTCGTTCAATCCGTTGAATCCATTGCACTGTCTCGTTTGGAGAAATGTGGAATGGAAACTTGAAACATCTTGAAACATCTTGAAACAATATATATAAGGGCAGATAAGGGCAGGAAACAATGCCATCTCCAACAACCATTGTCTCCAATGTCACAAGGGCCTCTGTCTGCAGTTCCAAGGCAGTTTCTTTCTCTCGTCGCAGCGCCTCACAATAGTCATCAATGAATATCAATGATCCATAATGATCCCATTGTTATCCCTTACTTGGAATCGATCTTGAAGTTTCACATTGGAAACCCCAGTTGCGGAAATTGTCACAAAGTCTTTACTCGTTCCTTCGACTCTTGGCAGACTAGTGTAAGCACTCAGGTACTCATTGCTTCGGCATAGCGGAGCCTCTTCTGCAGCTGCAACCTTCAGAGAGGCGTCAAATGAAACTACTTCATCGCATCCGTGATCTTGAGGTAATATATAGCTGTCATTAGCTGTCTACTTTTTTCGAGTCATTCGGATTTTCCCAGGTGCAATATCGCCTGCGTCTGCAACTGAGTTTGCTTCTCACCAAGGGACCTGTGCTTGGCCTTCCAAAAATTACAGTCACAAGAAGAAAAGTACATCTCTCGATTTCCACGAAGAAAATGCAAACACCTAAGAATTGCACGTCACAGACAATCTGAGATATAGATGCAGTGGATCCAGTCAGAACATTTCAAGAACCAGATCAGCTCAGAACATGTTTCTTCAGTCAAACGCATGGGTGTGCCAGCCTCAATGATCCGCTGGAAACGTGCCTGCTAAGACAGGTCAGACAGGTTCGGTCTGGAGAATGCCAAGATGCTTTAAGAATGCTGAAACAAAGGCACCCTTGCCTTTCTAAGGTTGTCAGAGATTGCGGTTGGGAAGATCAACTAGTGCAGCTCTATTGGTGGTCATCCGGCCAATGATGAAGCATGACAAATCCGAAATATTTTGAAATAATCCAAATGCGTTTGGAGTTCAGGTTGAAACAAGATGCAGCACACGAACCCGAATGCAGTCACGTAGAACGCTTTTGTGAAACAGGTCATTTGAAAACTCTTGTGCATGTTTCCCCTGTTACCGTACCAGTGCACCGTAGGCTGTGGAATGTGGAAGAGGCTGGAGTGCAAAGTGTGGAGTGTAAAGTGTAGAGTGTGGAGTGTAGAGTGTGGAGTGTAGAGTGTAGAGAGTGGAGTGTAAAGTGTGGAGTGTGGAGTGTGGACTGCGGAGTGTAAAGTATGGAGTGCAAAGTGTAGAGCGTGCAGTGTGGAGTGCAAAGTATGGAGTGTAAAGTGTAAAGTGTGGAGTGTAAATTGTAAATTGTAAAGCGTCGAGTGTGAAGTGTAAAGTGTGGGGTGTGAAGTGTGGAGTGTAAAGAGTAAAGTGTAGAGTGTGGAGTGTAAAGTGTGGACTGTCAAGTGAGAAGTTTGAAGTGTAAAGTGTAGAGTGTGGAGTGTAGAGTGTGGAGTGTGGAGTCTACAGTGTACAGTGCAAAGTGTGGAGTTCAAAGTGTGGAGTGTAAAGCGTAAAGTGTGGAGTGTAGTGTGGAGTGTGGAGTGTACAGTGCAAAGTGAGGAGTGCAAAGTGTAGAGTGTAAAGTGTAAAGTGTGGAGCGTAGTGTGGAGTGTGTAGAGTGTGGAGTGTAGAGTGTGGAGTGTAAAGTGTGAGGTGGGGAGTGTAAAGTGTAAAGTGTGGAGTGTAAAGTGTAAAGTATGGAGTGTGGAGAGTTAAGTGTAGAGTGTGAAGTGTGGAGTGTAAAGCGTAAAGAGTATGGTGTGGAGTGTGGAGTGTAAAGTGTGGAGTGTAAAGTTTAAAGTGTGGCGTGTGGAGTGTAAAGTGTGGAGTGTAAAGTGTAAAGTGTAGAGTGTGGAGTGTGGAGTGTGGACTGTACAAAGTAGAGTGTGAAGTGTGGAGTGTAAAGTAAGAAGTGGGAATTGTCGTGTGCGGAGTGTGGAGTGTAGAGGGTGGAGTGTAAAGTGTAAAGTTTAAAGTGTGGAGTGTAAAGTGTAAAGTGTGGAGTGTAAAGTGTAGAGTGTGGAGTGTAAACTGTAAAGTGTGGAGTGTAAAGTGTAAAGTATGGAGTGTGGAGAGTTAAGTGTAGAGTGTGAAGTATGGAGTGTAAAGCGTAAAGAGTATGGTGTGGAGTGTGGAGTGTAAAGTGTAAAGTGTGGAGCGTGGAGTGTGAAGTGTGGAGTGTGAAGTGTGAAGTGTGGAGTGTGGAGTGTAGAGTGTGGAGTGTGGAGTGTACAGTGCGCAGTGTGCTGCGCAAATTGTGGAGTGTGGAGTGTAGGGTGTGGAGTGTAAAGTGTGAAGTGTGGAGTGTGAAGTGTAAAGTGTGGAGTGTAAAGTGTAAAGTGTGGAGTGTAAAGTGTGGAGTGTGGATTGCGAAGTGTGGAGTGTAAAGTGTAAAGTGTAGAGTGTGGAGTGCGAAGTGTAAAGTGTAAAGTGTGGAGTGTGGGTTTTGTGACATGTGATGAAAATTGATGGAAACCTCGCATGAAACATCGATTTTGAAATAACAAAGTTTCACGTTCATGAGAAAACTCGTAGGAAAACGTCGATTTTGAAGCTACAAAGTGTGAAAATTGGAGGGAGTCTCGCACGAAATGCTTGTTTTGAGGCTCCAACATGTCTCGTCTCGATTCTCTGGTTTTTTTCTGCAAAGCTGGTTGCAATATGTTGTAATGTCGTTTTGCGTGGCAGGCGTGGCACTTCGTGACATTCTCATGTGTCTGCAAGCATGTCGGAACTCGTTCTTGTGTGGCAGCCACACAATACTTTCGCGCTGCGTGCTCTACACTCCACACCCTACACTCCACACTCCACACTTCACACTCTACACTTTACAATTTACACTTTACAATTTTCACTCTACACTCTACACTTTACACTCCAGACTCTACACTCTACACTCCACACTTCACACTCCACACTGCCGCGCCTGTCACGGTATTTGCACGTTGTCACAACTTCACGCAGCCGTGACAATGCGATTCGCAAAAACACCTAACACGACACGTTTAAAGTGCTGCGTGCGCCACGCAAAATGGCGATGGAGGTCTCCAAAGTGCTGCGCCTGCCACAAAAAATGCAACGCGTCTTCTGAAAACGTTACAAAAGTATTGCGCCTGCCACACAAAACGACTTTCGACACGTTACGAAACACGTCTGAATGTCACGAAGTGCCACGCCCGAAACGAGGCTACGCGGCATTTGAAAGCTCCAAAAGTGACCACTTTTACAGAACTCACCATAGGCACGGCCATATGGCCCTCTCACGGTCGCCCCCGAACGGTTGCGGACGGTTGCGCAACGTCTGGCGAACACAGCCTCAACCCCCAGACCCCCAGAGTGAAAAGGGAACCCTTGCTACGCGTTCGGGAAACGCATGAAAAAGCTGAAAAAAACATTGCAGCCACGGCAGCGAAGCCTCAGAGTCTGCAGCCCGGCGAAGTAGCGCTTGCTCCTGTCGAGCCTCCATCCTGAGGTCATCTGTAAAGATCCCGAGTTTTCGGATTTGTTCGGTGCAATTTCTGCGTGTCTAACCTGTCACAAACACTGGCGTGTTCCCAAAAAAGTTCTTTGGCATCACATTGAAAGAACCAAATCCACATCTTCTATGCAATTCGACAATCAACCATGACATAGCGCCACCCATCCGTCTGCCTGAATCTCAATTCAAGGACACTGCGACTTGGCCCGGCGCTTTGATGCTTCAAGTGTGCAGTAAGGCCAATAGCAAGCACTCGGAAGCAAGGATAAACATATCATCGGGCAATGCAACCTGATTGTTGAGAATCAAACAAAAGATCTTAGGTTGATATTGCTCGGCTGCTTTGCCAACGAGGGTGTTTGGTAAATATAGCATTTCATTTAGCCATTCTGTCTCGTTACTCTAGGTTGAACTGATTTACTCATGAATCCATGAGATGACATTGAGATGATTATGACGTGACTAGACTACGTATGACTACAGGATGCATGAGCATGGAAGCATGGGTGCAGTCAAGTGGCATGTTTTCTTCCTTCCGCTCCCTCTCTCTCGCTAGACTCGCGGCAAGGTTGAACTTCACGCTTCAGTAGCCAGACCTCTGTACGCAAACAGAAGCCTGGAAGATATGCGCAGCTACGCAGTCAGCTACGACTACGAGCTTCAGCTATGCTTCACATGGAAAGACACTGTACAATTTTTCAGGAGGCTTCTTGGCTTCCTGAGGGACGTCTGTATATTCACCTGCCAGCTGCTCTCACAGCTGCAGATTCGCCAAGTCAATATCTCTGGCCTTCGAGTTCTTAGATTTGAGATTATTTTAGGAAATCAGGTAAATAAGATAGCATTGCAAGGATTCCATGTTATTGAGTTTCGATTAATAGCTGGTGTTCACGGGATTTAGGCCAGCTGTTCTTTACCAACCCTCACAGGGCACAGCGTGCATCAAAGAAACTGCAGAGAGTTTGATTTATGTATAATATACATTAATATACCGTATATTATTATATTAGTATATTCATGTCTTAGTCATGGTATGTCCTTGTTCCAGTTTCCAACAGGATTGATCAAGATTGATCGGGATTTGTGGATCAGAAGCAGCCGGTTTTCCGGAGCAGTAGTTGCACAGCTCCCACAAATGGGCCTGGCCCTGGTATGACAGCCAATTGCAATACCCGATTACCTCCACCCCATCTTCCGTTACACCGTGGTCAATTTCTGAAAAAAAAAACATGAAAATATATGAAAATATATGAAAATGATCTTTTAGCAAGGTTTGACAAGTTTGACGAGGTGGAAGGTGCGTCAGGTTGTGTGAATGAGGCAAAAGCTTGTGAAAGATCAGCCTGAGTTCTAGGGCTTGCCATCCATCCAAGCAGAGTCAGCTCGGAGACTGGCTTGCCATGTCTTGCCCCATTGGATTCAAACGCAAAAGAACAAGCCTTTCCTTGATGCAACATGTGTTCTGCGAAATGGAGGCAAAACAAGGCCAGCTGAGAACAAAGCCGACACGCACTATGAGTGTCTCAGGTCCCATTGCTTCTGTACTAAACAAGAGATTTCTAAATCCTTCAAGCCGGAGTTGCCGAGCCCTTCAAAAATAGAAAGGCCTTACCCCTGGAGCGTCGTCCAAGGGATGCTCGTTTCTCAGAAAGTGAAAGATGCGAAAGGCAACACAAAACGGCCGGAAATGTGAGACTTGTGAAGGTTCTCAAAATTCTGCATGTGTTGACATAATGTTGACAGGTGATTGTCGATGCGGTAATATGATGTAATATGTGGTGGCTGCTGACATAATTTATACGAGCTTCCAAGGCCGCACACGGCACCCGATTCCGCATTCGGATTTTCTGATCTCTTGCTCTGCTTCAGATCCCGAGGTAAAGCCGTTTTAGTAAAGCCTTGCAGAGCACAGAAATGTCACCTCAGTCACTGATGATACTGAGAGCAGCCGAGAGCAGCTGTAGCTGGTACCTGACTGTTGATGTGCCTAAATGGAACGGAAGACACTTTGTTGTGAAAATTATAACAATTTATTCCAAAGTTCAACAACATGAGATGAGAACTGTAGCAGCCATGGCAGTCGTTCAGTGTATCACCTTGAGGATAAATTGCCACATCACGTAAGATTTGTTCTTCTCAAACTAGCCAGTTGTTTGCGGAGGAGACGCCCCAAGGCGCCCAAGGCTCTTGAATGCGTGCACACCATATCCAAGTCATTACCACTTCAGCACTAGCAGTCTTGGCCCGTGGCTGTACAACCTGTGCTCGCCATCAGCACCTTAGCAAGCTGTGAAATCTCGAGAAATGAGACTCCGCAAGCTCAAAGATTTTCTGCAAAAATGTCGAGCTCTTGTAGTACTATGATGTGTATATGCTATGTATATGCTATGTATACGCTATGTATATATGCTATGTATATGCTATGTATACGCTATGTATATGCTATGTATATGCTATGTATATGCTATGCATATGCTATGCATATGCTATGCATATGCTATGTATGTGATGCATTGTTTTCTGTCAATTCTATCATATTCTGCGCTTAAACATGCCACATCTTGAGACATCTTCAGACCGCGCAATCCAGCCTTGGTGAGGCCTTCAAAGCATCTTTACTTAGCCTCCTGCAGATGCTGCGATTGCATTGACAGTCTTCATCAGTCTTCATAGTCTTCATGCAAAGAGAGTTCATGATGTGCCGATTGCAGAATTTACTTGAAAAGAGCAATATTAGATTGGCATGAAGAAGTCTTCTGGGCAGCCGGAACTGCAAAAGACAAGACTGATCCCCTTTCCCCGTGCGTCTGCTGATCTGCCTTGACAAACTCCACACATACCAGTAAGCTGCCATCAGCCTCCAATTGCTTCCTGGGAGGAACTGCACAAGAGAGCATCACCAGAACTGAGGCTTAAAGGGTGAGGAAGTTCCCGATCTGATTTGAAACAGCACAGAAGGCCCAACATGGCCCAACTCCAAGTTCCAAGCAGCCAGTCAACGCCGAAGTCATCACAGCCACTTACTGTGTTCCTCGGATCAAATAGAACTCTACGACCAGTACGTCCTCTCCGTCCACTTGCTGTCTTGAATTATGACCTTCGCATCATCAACAGACCAGGATTTATAGCACGATAGGAAGGTATTGCATACGTGAGGAGCAGGCTCCGCGAAATTGTGTCGAAAGGGTCCTTTTCGACTTGTGCCAACCTGTACGACTCAGCAAATCCAAACATCCTTGGAGTTGGAGTCATCAAAGGCGAGAGAAGAGGAGAGAGAGAGAGAGAGAAAGAAAGGAAAGAAAGAAAGAAAGAGAGAGCAAGGGGCGAACATCTAGAAGACATTATATATATATATATATTATATATACATGTTGTTTGCACACAAATTCTCGATAGATGGAGAATGGTTGATAGATGGAGTATAGGTATACAGTAAATGTGTACATTGATGCAAAGAGACCAGTATGACCTGATGCGACATGATGCGATAAAATATTTGACTATACTCATAAATGTTAGTCTAGTACAATCGCAATAATGTATTGTGTGTTACAAGACTGCCGTCCTTTGGCTCCCTGCTGCAGGTCTGGATATGTGGCAAAGCCATCAATAAACTTATGTGACAAACAAGGCTCTGAGTAATGCTGCAAGTGACTGGCAAACTACTAGTACCACCAAGCAAACAAGATCAAACAAGTATGTGGAAATGTGTGTCTGCGTGCATACCCCTGGTTTGATGTGGGCTTGCATTTTGCCTATGGGTCTTTACATCGATTCGGGAACTGGATTTTCACAGGTTGGGGTGCCTAACTACCCAAGGCTGAAGATTCCACTTTCCGGAGAATACTGTCCCGATTCAAAGCTAGAATTACTCTATTGCCGAGTGCCGAGTCTGGTGCCAAAGCTGTATACAGTGCTTGGTGAAATCAGAACATGTGTCATTGTGGGGGATGTTGCCACGTGTTTAACATGATCTAAGCAATCAACAGGATTCTGAAGCTGGATCATGTTGCTCGCCTTGAGAAAGTACTGCAGTTCCGTTTCGGATGGGCAGCTTGGGACCTTTCAGGCGCACGGTGCACATCGTGCGTTTCAATGTGGAATCATGTGTAATCTGTGATTCATTGTCAGTGCTTTGTCCGCAAATCATAAGACTTGGAAGGTACTTTCATCTGACAAAAAATGATCCTCGGACAGTCTTAATTATTTCTCAAGAAGCCAAGACCACCTCTAGAATCTCCGAAATCTCAAGAGAACATAAGAGAACCATCTGAAAATGTCTCTGCATCTTCTGCGTCTTCTGGCCTTGATTTTTAGGCAGCCATCCAAAGGGCCTTCGTTCACCTGCACGTTCATCATCAAGCTGAATCAATTTGGACAGGCACAGGCACACACATGTATATATTCTATGTATTACTTTAAAAGTGCGTAGCTCTGCCCTCTGCAACTGTATTCAATGAAATAAAGATAAAATACAGTAATATGAATGAAAACTCTCCTCAAGCAGCAGACCTTCTTGGCATAGAGCTCACGCTGCCGCTTGCTGCGCGGCCCCTGGTTTATATCACGAGATGTCGCATTTACAGAGGTGAACTACGTGAAGTCAAAACATATCAAATCAAAGGCTAAGACTAAGAAACTTGTTTTTTTGAAATCCACTCCCAACAGCAAGGATATCTCAATCAAGCTCTGCCCTGACAGAACATGCAGTCACCCAGCCTTTGTAAGCTCTTTACCTTCTGGGAAGACCATGAGCCTCAAATCCTGGCAAACAGCTGCTGGAAGCTGGATGCTTTGTGGATGCTTTGTGGATGCTTTGTGGATGCTTCGGATGCAAAAGGACTTTGAAAGGATCACCGGTTGGAATCCTGTCGTCCAGCCCCAGATTTGTTGGCAGTGCTTTGTGTTGGAGTTTTGGTCCACGTGAAAAACACCAGCCTCTAGGCCTGCCGCAGTGAATGGTGAAGACACCAGTGCCCTGACAGAGGAAGGAACGGAGTGGCAAGTCGGTGAGTCTCAGGAAATCTCAAACAATAAGGTTCACTCTATCTCACTCCAGTTTTACTAACCTAGCTACTTCGGGTCAGCTCCACTTTGTGGAGGACTATGTGCTGAGTATCTGCTTGGATACTTTGCAAAAAAGCATGGAGCCAGCGATGGAATGAACACAACCCCAAGTGCAGATTACCATCAGAACAGGGTGCCATCATGATAATCAGCACAATTCCTGGAGCATGTCCACATCTGGCGCTTTGTTCAAAGCTTGTGGATGTTTGTGGTAACAAAGCGGCATGCGAAAGGGAGATGGGGCAGCTCAAATTGATCCAAGGCATTATATAGTGATAAACGGATTCTACGTGTATTCTGTACAATGTTAGAATATGTTACGACGGTCGGGATCATGGGAAATATATATATACGTATATATACACATATAGTTCCAGTATGTTATATTTTATATACAGTCTTACAGTAAGCTTTGTGATGCCAGGTGAACGTCCATTGCTCCCCCCAGTTTGCATGTTCTCCCTTTAGGGCACGCAACAGATTTGTACCAGCTCAATTTGAGCGAAATCCATCAGCATTAGCAACATTCAGCAGCTATCTGCTCTATCTGTTCTTCAAAGCATGTCCATGTCTCTGCTTCACCAGGGCAAATCATCTCCAAAGCGATTTCTTTGTAACCGGCTGTTCAGAAGTGCCAGTCTCGTATGGGCCAAAGACCTCAGCATTGGCATAGCCCCATGAAGCTCCATGAAAAGGTGCCTTTGGCATCCTTTATCCACACAGTTTCTATCAAATTCTCATTGAACCACCATGGTCACCACCGATACTTGGCAGTGTTTGGTAGACAAAGTTGTATAGATATTCTTGCTTGGGGCAAACAGGTACAATGTGGTAATCACTGTGGTACACTTCAATGCCCAATGTGTAGGATAACATCAGGAGTGGCATACCATAGCATATCATAACGCCTCGTGAGGTCAGTCAAGCCACTGCGGTGTGTCCTCACACTTTGACTGCAAGAACCTTGCGCATCTCTTCCACTAAATCACTAAATCTGAAATCGTTCAAGTGGTGCGCGCAATCACATTCAATATCATTCAATCACTCAATCAAATAGGATCAAAATTCAAAAGGATTCATACAAACCGATGTCATCCTCAAAGACGAGACAACTCAAAGCTACAACATGGATTACATTGATTACATGGAGTTGAATAAAGAGAATGAGAAAAAAACAAAATAAAAACAAGCTGGAAGGTCTGGAAGGTCTGATTGAAATGGATTTGGGCCTGACGTTGGAGTCTGGAGGTCTTGGTTTGTGGACTTGCCCAGGCCTTGGAACTAAGCGAATCAACGAATAACATCGAGCAACATCGAATAATCATGAATAATCAATATCAAGACCATAGAAAGCCACGGCCTATTCAGGTCAGCCAAAGTGTTCAACGTTTGAGTAGCTTACGAGTAACTTGTGAGATCTCTGTGAGATCTTGTGAGCATTTTCAACGATATGACAGGCAGCAAGTTATATATATATAATTATATATAAGGCACTGGAACGGCAGCTTGAGATGGCCTCATGTTGGGCTGGGAATGACTTCTCTTTGGCCGCAAGCTTCGCCAGAAGTTGCCATCAGGATCATTCTCCTTTCACAGAGAGCTGCAATGAACTGAAACCACATGAACATCACAAATTAATCATCAAAATATATCAAAATAGTCATCAATCAAGATTGCATAAACCGTGACAAGTCTTCTAACCAAGCACTAAATTGAATCAGCGAAACAAGCGCCTTGTCAATGATACTTGGACCACCACAAAGATGTACACCTGCAGTACGTGACTGGGCGCAAACAGACCAAAGTGGTCCAACTAACACATAGAAAGGCTCAGTATCAGCACTCCCATCATCGCAATCAACGTCGACATCTTCTTTGTCGTCATTGTCAAGAGCACTCATCCTAGAAGTCGTAACTCGGGAACATGTTCCGCAAAGAACTGAACCTGTATAGGAGCTTCTGTCGTAGAAAAAGCGCTCTGGGCCGTTGTTCCCACCTTCATGTTGACAGCTCTTTGCTATAGAAAACATTAGAAAACTAGATTAACCATGATCAACCAAGCACACTTGGACTGTCCTGTCATGGTCCATGGAATCCCTGTCCCAAGATGTCCCATTGCAGTTTGCTGTGAATACAAGCACCTGTCGGCTCCAGGGGCTGCGCTTGAAGTCCTGCAGAGAGCCATGGAGAGCCCAAAAACAAGGGAATCTTCGGAATCTTCGGAATCTTCGGAATCTTCGGAATCTTCGGAATCGTAATTATTCGAATGATTCGAATAAATTCAATGGGGTTTAGCCGGTTTAGCTTCTTGCTTCAGGACTTTGATGATTCCGAAAAGCAATTGGAGCACAGCAAGACCAATTTTATTGGCACGTTTTGGGACATGGACTCTCCAATACAATCCCACCTGGATTTCGCACGAACAACGACATCTTCAGGCCGTTTCGGAGGGAAGCAACGAAGCTATCCTTGCAAACCTCGACTTTTACACATTTCTACACCAAAGGATGTCTGGCAACCCGTCTCACTCTACATGGGGGGCAACACTAAAGCCACAACGTCAAAGCATGTAAAAGCTGTGCAAACAAGTTGCTGTGCTTGGCCCGCCACAGGTATGAACACCTTTTGTGGACCCACTTGCATTGACATGAAAGCACAAGCATCAAATGCAACAAATGCAACATATTCAAAGGATCACTGCCAAAGATATTCAAAGGATCACTGCAATACTGCAATAACGCGCCTGTGTAGGTAGTCTTGTCATAGAAGAAGCGTTCTGGTCCCCTGGAAGGCTTCATGGGGCATGCTGGAAGGGCATGCTGCAGTTTGGACTGTTCTCCAGGCAACACTCCCAGGCTGTTTGAATTCTCCAGATTTGTCCAGGATTCATAGAAATCTCGTAGAAATCTCGTAGGTAACAATGTAGGTAACAAATGGTAAAGTCATGTAAAGTCTAAATTGTATGATATACATTTGAAATACGAGATTTGCTCGTGCAGAAAATCTCCTGGTCTCCTTGTAAAGCAGGTTTTGCTGATTTTTGCTGATGCTTGCCCTGAATGTTTATGAATGTTTCTTCTGTTTTGAAATGCAACGTCCGCACCTTCTTCCCGCAGGCGAATCTCCCAATGAGCCCATCAGGAAGTAAAGGAATCCACACGCAGCTTTGCATCAACACAAATATGCACAGTGGATCACAAGGGTAAACCGGTAAACCCGAGCTCAGAAGATGCCTTACTGAGTATGGTTCATGCCATTCATGCCACAAGAAGGTTTCTTTTCCTTCTTGATCCTTCTTGTATTGCTGCATATGCTTGCATGAAGACAGACAACTTTGATAAGATTCTGAAGGAAGTGATAACTTCAGGTGCTTTTCAGTGGGATGCAAGGATCAAACAGAATCCTCCTTATTTCACATCCAACCTGGTTGGAGGTGTGAGTTCAAACTTGTAAATTTTGGTTGTGTGTAAACATCTAAGAAAGGTTGTGTTGCTGTCAATTTGAGTCATGGCAGCTTGCAGTCAAAGCAATGTTGGCGTGCCATGCGCAAAACAAAATCACTGATCAGCAAAAACAATCAGGTCCAAAGCAAGAGCAAAAAGCTACAGCAATGTGTGGGCAACCCCGTTAACGTCATCCTCCTTTCATTGTACAGTATAGCCTTGTAGACTGTTGGTAAAAACTTGTCAAAACTTGTCAATTTTTGGCAAAATTGTCAAAAATTGTCAAAATGAAAAATGGTCCAAAATTCTCAACACATGTCAAAACATGTTTGCAGAACAGGTCTCTTCGGCCTGCCCATACAGCCACGCAGCTTCTGCGACAGCTGGCCAATGCGCCACTCGGCACGCCTCAATGCAGACACTGCGTTCAGTGAGGGCCGAGCCTATGAGTGATACGTGGCACGTGTGCGAAGCGATGAAAAATCCTTTGCTTGCGCTTTCTCATTTCCCAAGTCCTTGTCAAACCTGGACAACCAATGACAGAATCTCATGCCCATAGGCTGCCATAGACCCATTACAAATGCAATGTCCGCAGTGTCCGCAATGTAGTGTACTGGAAGCCAACAAACCTTGTGAAGAACTGCAATGGGATCTTGGATCTAGGGCTAGGACTCCAGGTCCAGACCATCGACGGACGCGTTTGACAGCTGCACGCCATCCAAATGCCCGGGGTCATCTGCACAGCAACGTGCTAAGAAGCGAACCGGAAGAAACTGCTACCCATAGAGTCCATAGAGTTCACCGATCTTCAGTCGAAATCGAAAACGCAAACTGTCCAAAACCCTCCAGAACCTCCTCAGAATCACAGCTCTCATCGAGGTTGAGATGGGGCTTTCATAAGGTCTTGGCATACGGTACATACCATTGACCCAAAAGATCCAGTTGAAGAAACTCCGAAAGGCTAAAGCCTGAGCCCTCACAAGAATATAATATGGCCGAGACAGCGCCCACCTGAAAGCACGCTGGCCATAGTCAGAGTAGAAGAATGTCCAGAGGACCTTGTCTATTGGGACTTGAAAATCTTGAGACGTCACTCATGAACTCCCATGACTGACTACATCTCACTAATTACTCATGAAACTACTCATGAAACTGCTAGTAGGATCAGCTGCCAACAATGGCACTGAATGTGCTGTGCATCTTAGTGCTTTGTGTTTGTGCATGTTTGTCATCTCAACAATATCTAACATCTTTGCGTCGTGCAGGAATGAACACCTTTGGGATTCAATTTTTTGTATTTCAGTTCCGAGGTCATGGCAAACTACCTTGCTTGGCAAACGACACCTCCTGGAGAAGATTCTGGATCTTCATATATCTTCATGCTGTTCCTGGTGTTCCTTCTATCCTTTGGGTGTTTGCTTCATGGAACCACAAAAGTACAACATTTTGTAACATCGCTACAATGCGGAACTATGCCAAACTGTTTGAGACTTCACGTTTCAGACTTCACAAACTTCTACAGATTCTATAGTATAGTCCTTCTGGGGGACCTTAAGGCCAGGCGGTGAGTCGTTCTGCAAAGCGAGCAGGTTTGGTGAGTCAGTCATTCAAAGAGACCACGATGCAAAATTACCAAATTTGGTCAAGACATGTTAAAATTTGTTAAAACAGTGTCAACATTGTTGTGTCACAACACTATTGTGTCATTGTGGGGTTCTTGTGGCATTGCTCTCAGCTCAAGGTCCCAAAATTGGCCTTTGGAGAGAGCTGAAGGCCCGGCGGGGGCGAGTCCGTCTCAGGAAAACATGGGAACATGCAAAACGTTGACCAAAAAAGAAACGAAGTCAGGGAAAGGAAACACAATCAAAGATATCAAAGGCTTTGGAGCTTCCTGAGGTCTTATTTGAGAGGGGGGGGACGAAAGGTAGGGGGGGGAAGACAGGAGGGAGAGGCAAGAGAAGGTGCGACTGTTTGTAACGCAAGCACGCCGACGACGACGACGACGACTACTACTACTACGACTACTACTACTATGACGACTACTACTACCACTACTACTACTACTGCTACTACTACCACCACTACTACTACTACTACCACTACCACTACCACTACCACTACTACTACTACTCCTACTACTACTCCTACCACTACTACTACTACTACTACTCCTACTACTACTACTACTACTACCACTACCACTACCACTACCACTACACCTACCACTACCACTACCACTACCACTACCACTACCACTACCACTACCACTACCACTACCACTACTACTACCACTACCACTACTACTACTACTCCTACTACTACTACTACTATTACTATTACTATTTACTACTACTACTACTACGACTACTACTACTACTACTATTACTATTACTACTATTACTACTACTTACTACTTACTACTTACTACTTACTACTTACTACTTACTACTTACTACTTACTACTTACTACTTACTACTTACTACTTACTACTTACTACTTACTACTTACTACTTACTACTTACTACTTACTACTTACTACTAACTACTTACTACTAACTACTTACTAC